CCCCCACCTCCCGCCCTGGCCCGCTGCCGCCTGAGAGCCGGGGTCCTGGCCCAGCGACCCGAGGCCACGAACCAGCTGGGTTCCCAGGTGCCCATCGTGTGCCGGCGCCGGGCCCTCCCCATCCTCACCCTCTCGGGGGCAGCACACACCCATTTCACAGATGGACACATGGAGGCCTGCGCCAAGCTCAGCACAGCTCCCCACAGCTCAGGGAAGCTCAGGGGCCTCCCAAAAAAAAAGAAAAAGAGAAAAAAAAGAAAAAAAGGAACAAAAAAACAAAATATATATATTTAAAAAGAGAAAAAGGAAATAAAAAATGAACAAAAGTTCATGGGCCCTGATTCCAAATGCTCCCTTTTCCAGCAGGCCCTGCTCCTGCGAGAGAGCCGCCCCCGTCTGGCTCCGCCCACGTGAAATGGGGCTGGACCCCAATCGAACCCTGACCTCCTGGTTCACAGGGCGACGCTCTAACCACCGAGCCACACCGGCCGGGTCCCAAAACCTTTGCGTCTTCCCCAATTCCAGCCTCACGCCTATAAACTGTAACCCACCCCCCATCTTGGTATTTGATGCCACCAACCTCATAGCCGCCCGGGGGGTCCTAAGGGTTCCTCAGGCCCCAGAGAGGGGAGCCGCCCACCCCCTGGGGAACCCAGGTTCCAGGACTGCGGGCCCCACGCCCCCGGCCAGCCGTGCACTCACCCACGCAGGTCTTGCAGGTGGGGTGGCACTGCCCGCACCGGACCAGCTCGGAGTCGAAGTAGGTCCCCGGCTCGCAATCGGGAATGCAGCTGCCCCGAGCGAGGCTGCAGGTGGGAAAAAGAAAAGGCGGTTAAAAAGCCATTACGCATTTATTGATTTCGGAAAGGAAGAGAGAGAAGCATCCATGCTGAGAGAGAATCACGGATCGGCTGCCTCCTGCACGCCCCCCACTGGGGACCGAGCCCGCAACCCGGGCCTGTGCCCCGACCGGGATTCGAACTCAGGACCTCCTGGTTCACAGGTTGACGCCGAACCCCTGAGCCACGCCGGCTGGGCCCCAGTAAAATGTTTTTAGAGGAGACGTGTGTGGAGCTGAGAGAAGAGAGAAGACCAGAGCGTGATGCGGACAGACGCCAAACCCTGCAGATGTAGCTTTCAGTAAACACTGGCAAAGACGCGGCAATTCGAGTATAAACGCGAAAAGGAAAAGAAAAGCAGGAACAGGTGGCCGGGCGGAGGGGGGAGAAGGGGTCCCACCTGAACCCCTCCTTGCAGACGGTGCATTTCTCGGGGTCGTCGACGCACGTCTTACAGCTGGGGTGGCACTTCAGGCATTTCCTCTGGCCTGGAGAAAAGGAGATGAGGGGGAGCGCGGGGGGAGAATGGGTACGATCCAATCCGGGCTAGCGAGCCAGCCGGGGTGGGAAGTTCACCCCAGAGAGGGGACCCCCGCCCAGCCCAGTGAGCCGGCCGGCGTGGGAAGTTCACCCCAGAGAGGGGACCCCCGCCCAGCCCAGTGAGGCGGCCGACTCGTCATTTCTAAGCCCAGCACAGCCACGTGCACTTTTTTTTTCTTAATTTATTCTTTTATTTTTAAATATATTTTTATTGATTTCAGAGAGGAAGGGAGAGGGAGAGAGAGAGAGAAACATCAATGAGGGGAGAGAATCATGGATCGGCTGCCTCCTGCACGCCCCCTACTGGATGGGGATGGAGCCTGCAACCCGGGCCTGTGCCCTGACGGGGAATCGAACCAGGACCTCCTGGTTCATACTAGTGGGTCGATGCCCTAACCACTGTGACACACCGGCCGGGGCCGCACTTACTGTCCAACGCGTAGAACCCGGCGGGGCAGGGGTTCAAGAGGGGGCACTCGCTCACGCACTTCCTGCCGGAGCCAGAGCAGGGGGCACCCCCTCCCTCAGCCACGCCCACGCTCACCACCCGCAGCCCAAGTCCCACGGCCAAGGCCCCGCCCAGGAAGGGCCCAAGGAGGAACCTCAGCTGCCCCCCGAAACCCCCAGCCGCCCAGGAAACAAAGGCCCCAGGGGAGAAGGTTAAAGCAGGGGGCACTCGCTCACGCACTTCCTGCCGGAGCCAGAGCAGGGGGCACCCCCTCCCTCAGCCACGCCCACGCTCACCACCCGCAGCCCAAGTCCCACGGCCAAGGCCCCGCCCAGGAAGGGCCCAAGGAGGAACCTCAGCTGCCCCCCGAAACCCCCAGCCGCCCAGGAAACAAAGGCCCCAGGGGAGAAGGTTAAAGCATGAATGCCCGTTGTCTTTTTTTGTTCTTCTAAATAATACATTTGTATTGATTTCAGAGAGGAAGGGAGAGGGAGAGAAACATCCATGAGGAGAGAGAATCATGAATCAGCTGCCTCCTGCGCGCCCCCCACTGATGGGGATGGAGCCTGCCACCCGGGCATGTGCCCTGGGCGGGAATCAAACCGGGACTTCCCCATTCATAGGTCGATGCTCAACCACTGAGCCACACTGTCCAGGCATCACCATGATTCTTTTCAAACTAGTGGCCCGGTGCACAAAATTCGTGCACTGGGGCGGGGGGGTGTCCCCCAGCCTGGCCTGTGCCCTGTCACTGTGCGGGAGCCCCTCGATCCATCGCCCCAAAGAGGTAGGGCGGAGGCCTGTGGACCCGCAGCACAGGTGTGTGGAGAGGCCTCAGCCGTGCCCTGCCCCGTCCCAGACGCTGGAAGTCCCCGCCCACCTGCGCCTGCTGCACACGCAGCCTGCTGATTGGCCGTTATGTGTGAGGGTGTCCCGACCTATTTGCATATTACCCTATTATTAGTATAGATTTTTGGTGTGTTTTATTTCACACAGATTTTTTTTTCCTTATACATGTTCTTTTTCACTCGAATTTTTAAGTAGGGTGCCGGGTGTGTGTGTGTGTGTGTGTGTGTGTGTGTGTGTGTGTGGAGGGGCTGAGAACACAGCTCAAAACAGACCTCCTTTGCCCTGTCTGGCGTTGTTCAATGGTTAGAGCGTCGGTCTGCTCAAACCGAAGGGCCTCAGGTTTGATTCCTGGTCCCGGTCGGGGCGCATTTGGGAGGCAACCAATCGATGTGTCTCTCTCTCCCCCCTCCCTCCCACTCTCTCTAAAAAGCAATGGAAAAATACCCTCGGGGGAGGATTAACAAAACAGCAAAGCCAGTTCCTGTGGGACCCCCGCCCTTACCTGCCGGTCTTGGCGCTGCCCAGGCTGAAGTGCACACAGTTGAGGCACTGATCGGCGCCGGGGCCGTCACAGCCCTGGTCCCCGCACTCCGGGTGGCACACGCCTGCGAGAGACAAGCCCTGCCTTTCGCCCACGCACACACCGGCTCCGTCTGCGCCCGTCCCCCAGGAGCGCGGTGGGCCTGCGGGGCTGGGCTGTGAGGGGCAGGAAGAGACTGTTGGGGACCAGCTGTCACTGTGAGGAATATGAGTCCCGCTCTGTGACCCGTGGCTGTGCTGTTCTGATGAAAAAGCACCTTCTGACCTGGCTGGGAGCTGCACGCGGCCCTGGGAGCTCCCCTGGAAAGGCGGCCCGTCCTCCCCACTGGGAGCTGCCGGTGATCATGGAAGGACGAACAGCTACTGCGGAAAAACCGGAGCGCCAGCCCTTTGAGGACCCCCAGCCTTTGCACACACACAGGCCTTTGCAAATCTCCAACCCGCTCAGGCCCGTCCTCCCCACGGGGAGCTGCCGGTGATCATGGAAGCACAAACAGCTTTACTGCGGAAACCGGAGCGCCAGCCCTTTGAGGACCCCCAGCCTCTGCACACCCACAGGCCTTTGCACACCCCCAGCCTCTGCACACCCACAGGCCTTTGCAGACCCCCAGCCTCTGCACACCCACAGGCCTTTGCACACCCCCAGCCTCTGCACACCCACAGGCCTTTGCACACCCACAGTCCTTTGCAGACCCCCAGCCTTTGCACACACACAGGCCTTTGCAAATCTCCAACCCGCTCACCTGTAAACTGCCCATTTGGCATCACCCTTTGGCCAACTTCCCATGTAACCTTTGTCCTTCCACCCACTACCAGCAGCTGGCTTATGGGGGGGCAGAGCAGATGTTTGTGGGTGCCCTGCTGCTCCCCCACGCTGCCGGCAGGACTGGAACCAACGCTCACGTAGGATTCCACCCTGTCTCTGCTGAATGGGCTCAGGGAGTGACCGGCGGCCCGGACCCCGTGGTTGTCCGGCTACAAGCGGATCCGCCTCCCCCTCCCCCTCAGGCTGGCGTGGGGCATGTCCCCGGGACCTCAGGCCGCAGCGTGCCCACGCCCACCCTGAGCTGCGCCTCCTGCTCTGGAAGAGGCCGGGGAAGCCCGTCTGCCCAGGGAGGGCCGGGCCGTTCTGAAGGCGTTGGGTCTTTAGGAAGAAAAGGAAAACAGCCTCCTGTCAGGTCTGCGTTCTGGGAGGCGGTGGGAGCCCCGCCAGCAGCACAGGGGACCAGGGGACGGAGGGGAGGACAAAGGCCCATTCTCCGGGCACAATGGGGCTTTGCTGGCCCACAAAGCCCGCTCCTCCCCTCCCCACAGGGCCTCGGACCGCCCGGCGGGCAGGTTCATTCTGCTTCCCTCCCGAGGGTTGGATGTTGTTGCATTTCCAACGTTTGCACTGGGGGGTCCCCTTTCTAGGGGGGGTCCCCTTTCTAGGGGGCGGACCCCCGTCTAAGGGGTGTTTGTCCCCAGGGATGCTCACAGCACAGGACACAGCCACCCCTCCCCGACCTGCCTCCCTCCCTCCTCTCCCCGACCCTCCCCTAACGCCAGGCTATTTGCGACGCGAGGTCCATGCCCATCTGATCGGACTCCTGTCCACTCTAGTCCAGCCCACTCCCGGGGAAATCCTCGGAAACCCAGCTCCCCGGCACTGTTTTGGCTGAAAACACATTGAACTTGGCCACCCGGCTGCCCCCCACTCCCAGCCCGGACATGGCCCTGGAGACACCCGGCCTCGCTAGGCAGCGACTTCTCTGGAGCCCAGGGGTCACCAGGCCGGTCTTGCTCGATAAAGTTAACGATGTCCTCAATCATGCGGATGTCCCCCGCCTCCTCCTCCCCCTCTTTTATTTTTTAAAAATATATTGTTAGCGATTTTCAGAGAGGAAGGGAGAGGGAGAGAGAAACATCCATGATGAGAGAGAAGCATGGATCGGCTGCCTCCTGCACACCCCGCACTGGGGATCGAGCCCGAAACCCAGGCACGTGCCCTGATCGGGAATCGAACCGTGATCTCCTGGTTTCTAGGTCGATGCTCAACCACTGAGCCACACCGGCCGGGCCTTCTCTCCCTCTTCCTCCTCAAGCCCCTCCCCTTTGCCCTCCAGACCATGAAACCCTCCCTGGCTCTTGTAGCAGCTACTGGCCCACCTGTCCCTCTGGCCCGAGAACTCGGGGACTTCCGAGCCTCAGAAACATGCCCTCACCCCTCAGACCCTCACCCCCACCCCCCCATCCATCTAGACTTGGGCTGCAGACCAGTCTTATATGGGGAGATCCCCGGGTGGTAGAAGGTTAGAGTCGGGAGCAGATTTTATGGGGGAAAACAAAGCGTTCATTCATTTATGAATAATTACTGAATCTGATTTATAATCACAGGGGGAAACAGCCGATCAGCCCATTCATAATTCAACGTCCGTGTTAAACGAAATTTGAATGGAATCGCCCATCGTTTATGCTCGTGATGCTGGGGGTGGGGAGGCTCCATGGT